CCCCCCCTCCTACCTCTAACTCCCACCCTGAGTTATAACCTCAACTCAAGGTTCCTGTAATCTATGATTATCAAAACTTCCTTAAATAGGTTTATCTTGAACTTGTTTAGTGTAGAACATATAAAGATATATTGGATTGAAGTAAGATAAACAGGATTAAAGTTCTTGTTATGTAGACAATATATAATCTTGTTTCTAAAGGGACTGTCCACAAAGGAATTGAGTTTTTGCCACAAACTCTGATTTTCTAATCACTATATCTTTGGAACCAAATGTTGCAGACCTTAGATATTTCAAACTATGAATTCTGTTAGATCAAATAATATAAGTTTGAAATATCAAAGGTTTACAACATCGAGTTCTAAAGATATTGAGGTTTAAATATTTGATTTTGTTCCAAAGAATCAATTCCTTTCAATTAATTCTCCAAATAAAGAGTTATTTTTCCAATTCACAACGGCATCCTTGATCTTTAACGGACGATCTTTAGCTCTAGTTATTTTATAATTTACAATAAAAATACATCTATATACCGGGAAGGTATATGATTGATCAAAATTTCAAAAATGTACCTCCATCAAAATTTGATTTTCATTAAATTTGTGGCCCAAGAGAAAGTTTATGAATGATCAAAATTTCAAAACTGTGCCTCAATCAAAATTTGATTTTCATTAAATTTTTGAAAATTTTGAAAATCCAAGAAATTTTTTTTTAAATTCGCGAACTTTTTTTTGTTTTTTTACAATGTACACAAAGAGAACATGTTCACAATTGAAATAGAAGATGTGCGCGAAGCGCCCCAAAAGCCTAGTATATATAAATCTATATATAAATTTAGCTTGTTTGGGTGTCTGTTTGTTTGTATCCAATAAAAGTCAAAACGGCTGAACCAATCAGGCCCAAATTTTGTGTGGGGCCTCACGTGGCCCCAGGGAAGGTTTATGGTCAATCAGACTTTATATAGGTAATCTTAAAATATTTTTATCTTAAGTTGCTTAATTTTGTAAAATTCTGAAAACGCGCGAAAAAATATTATGAAATCCGCAAATTTAAAAAAAAAATTATACTGTACAAAAAGAAGATGCTAACAGATAAAGCCACAATTAAAAGTTGAAAAAGAAGATGGGCGCAAAGCGCCCTAAATGCCTGGCATATATATACTATATAAATAAATTCGGGAAAAGCAAACATAAAAATGAAATCAAAGATTGCAAAGACATACCATGAGGGTTGCTATGTATAATTTTTGCAAAATTGAATCGAGCTCTAATTGAAAGAATTCTTCAAATCAATAAATATAAATTGAATTACAACAGTACTGAAGTAATTTCTTCGTGTTAAAAATTCTCTGAATCAATTTAGTTTAATCGCATAGATCCGTGAAATATTTAATGATATAGAATATGGATTCACGTTCACGCTTCACTTTTGTAACCATCCTCCTCTAATGGATTTCAAGTATGAATGGAAGGGGATGGAGGGTAGTATATTTAAAAAAAGAAAGAATGGGAAGTTATAAAAAGAGAGAAATCAAATTAATACAAATATTTAAATAGGTCACAATAAAAATTTAATATCATCTAAAATTTGGCCGTGGTGGTCGTGTCAAGGAATTTCAAACATTAGACTAAAGTAATAAATGAAAAGATTTGATCTCTACGAGGAAATCTAGATTTAAATTCTATATTTAGGGTTCTAAATTATCCTACACAAAGACGGAGACGAATAGAGCCTTTGATAAAGACAATACAATCGCTGATTCATGAACCTACCATAAAGTTCGCCCCATAATATCTACATCCCCCTTTTCTCTTCCCCTCCTGGGCAACATTTTTTGTATATTTTAAATGGCTTTATAAAAAATTTGTCGCACATCAGGGAATTTTTTTCAGAGCACACTAGGGGGGGGGGGTTATTACTATAACTACGGATCTTGTTAATCTGTAATTTATGTTTAAATTTTTAATTTTCTTCCATGTTTATATTTGATTTTGTATTTATGTTCTTATGATGATATAAAAGTCGTCATTTAATTCCCACGTTTATCTACTTGATTAATAAACAATGAGAACATGGCTCTTTGAATTCAGTATAGAGTTCACAGTGTTCACTTGCCAGTATATATATATATATGTATACATCAGTACATTTTACGTAAACAAATTTCTTGAAAGTACGCTAGTAATCTTGGCACTGTTTAGTTGTTTAGTGATCAATTTGAAGACGTATTTTTATTTTCTCAACAACTACTCGATGTTGCAGTAGGTCCAAAGTACCGTAGGACCGAAATGCTGTAGAACTGAAGTAATAGATTGAATATGTTATTTTTACAAAAATCAATGAATTTGAAAGTTAAATAATCAGTTTTCAGTTGTTATTTTGAAGAAAAGATATTTCTTATTTTTGCTGACTTATGCCAATATAATTCATTTTCTCCAAAACGAATAAACCTATGTCAATGATATTTGGTGAAACAAAAGAATTAAATGTATTTAATAGATTGGTTATGTAATTTTCACAAAAATTA